CCGGCCCCCATCGCCCGCTCCCGCCTGGAGCTACGGCCCCCCGGAGTGTCCCCCCGAGGGCTCCGCGCTCCGCAGGCAGCAGGTCCCCGGCTACTCCCCGCCACAGGTAAGGGGTGCTCCCAGCCCCGGCTCGGAGCCCGCGGGTCCTGGCATGGGGGGTCCTGGGGCCGTGGAGCTGGGGGTCCCCGTGGCTCTCGAGCACCTTGTCCTGCCTGGTTTTACTCTTAAAAAAACTGGTGGTCACCCTGTTCTCTGGAGACCCTGAGCTCGGGCTAGGAAAGCAGGAATTGGGCAGCCAGCCTGAGCTGCAGCTGCTTCCCAGAATCCCAGGATTGCTGAGGTTGGAAAAGACCTCCAAGATCCCAGAATCCAACCTGTGACCGGTCCCACCTTGTCACCCGGCCCAGGGCACTGACTGTCACGTCCAGTCCTTCCTTGGACACCTTCAGGGATGGGGACTCCACCACCTCCCCAGCCATAATGTTCCAATATTTTACAACCCTTTCCATGAAGAAATTCCTGATGTCCAACCTGAACCCCTCCCCTGGCACAGCTCGCGGCTCTCTCCCCTTTTCTTGTTCCTGGTTCCCTGGGAGCAGAGCCCGTCCCCACTGCCCTGTCCAGCTCCCAGGGCTGTCAGAGGGTGCAGTGCTGGGGGTGACCCCAGCTGTAATTCCTGTTCCCCCCATCCTTTCAGACCCCTGGAATGCCGATGCCGCAGTACCCGTACGGAGACAGCAGTGCAGGGCTCCCGGGGCAGGGCCCGGTGCCACAGCCCCGAGCCCTGGAGGACACGTGGGGCCCCCACTCTGTCTTTGGGGTGCAGCCGCGTTACGCCTGGCCCGCGGCCTCGGGGCACGGCAGCCTCTACGTGTCCGATTCACAGCCACCCTGGAGCGGCAGCGGGGCTCCTTCCCACCCTCCCACCTGGGAGTCACAGGGACAGGTGAGGTCCTGTTTGCATGCAGAAGGCTTAAATCCGTGGCTGTGATTCCGTAATGCACTGGAAGGACAGGATGTCCTGGGGTGGCTCTTGAAATGGGTCTGACAGGCTTTGTCTGGGTTGGATCAGGAGTTTAAGAGACTCCACGTTTTTGGTCCCCAGGCAGCAGCAGCCCTGATGGGGGTTTGGGGGCTCAGACTCCTCCTCTGGACAGGTGCCCCTTGCTTTCTAACATGGGGACCAGGGCACAGGTTCCTGTCCCCAGCATCCCCAGCACTGTTCGGTGCAGGATGAGAGCAGAACCCTCCGTGTTTAAGGGAAATGCACTTAGAGATGTTCTCTCCCTCTGACTGCAGGACTCTGTCTACGACAGACCTGAGCAAAGCCCCAGCCAACGCAGTTACTATTCTGATGTCAACCAGAGGCACTCTGGGGTGGGGAATGAGCACAGGATAGCCAGGGCTGCCCCGTCCCAGCCGCGGGTGCAGTACAGTGCCCAGCCCCAGCTCTATGACCTCGCTCCACGGAAGCCCGTGGCCGGGAGCCGGGAGCTGGGCTTCAAACCTGCTGAGCAGCCTTCCACAAACCCTGCAGCCATGCAGCCCGAGATTCAGAGGATCCTCCACGTGATGGGGGAGGCTGAACAGCTGGAGGAAGAGGTGGAAGAATTTGTAGGGAAAAAGACAGATAAATCCTACCGGCTCCTGGAGGAGATGTTGACCAAGCTGCTGCTGGAGCTGGATTCCATTGAGACTGGGGGCCAGGACAGCGTCCGGCAGGCCAGGAAAGAGTCCGTCCACAGAATTCAGGCCATACTGGAAAAACTGGAAAGAAAGGGGCTGTGAAAGCACATGAGCCACAACACACAGCCTGTTGTTGAGGTTCCAAAGAGTTTCAGTTCTCTTAAATCTCAGCTCTTTCTGCTACGCACTATTGACAATGGAATAGCAATAAGCCCTGAGTTAACAAATCAATTCAAACCCATCAAAAATCCAGCCCAGAAGCCCAGCCCTGACGAACAGCTCAGCAAAGGACAAATTGCGAGAGGTTTGAAGCAGCAAAAGTATTTAATGAAGATGTTGAAGAGAGCTGGGCCAAGGATGGAGCCCTGTGGGGTTGTGTACAGTTCCCCAGAGCAGGCCCAATCTCTGGGTGTCTCCTACAGTCACAGCCAGTCTTTCAACACTCGTCAGATGTGCTGCAATGTGCAGCCAGCAACCAAGACTCTGGGTTTGTCCTCACTGCCTGTAATTTCAGCTTCAGCTCCCTTGCCATAAACCCCGTGTGTCCTCACAGGGGTTGTTTGGGTTTAGTGCACTCAAGGAGCAACACTGAGGTTCTGGAGGGAGGGACTGTGCTGGCACATGTCGCCTTGTGCTGTTCCTCCTGTGGTGCAGAGCCAGTGTGAGGTGTCCCTGTGGGAACAGACTGGGAATCCCGGTTCTGCCACTGGAAAGGAGAAGTGCAAGTCAAGGAAAGAACAAATGCAGGATGCTTGCAAGTGATTTCCAGGTCACTTGGTTCAAAATCCCCTGTTGAATGTCCCTCTCCATCCTGCGAGTTTTGTGTCCCACTGTGCAGCACCACGGAGGGAACAGCTCAGCCTGTTCCAGCCTCCTGGTTACCACCTGCACAGAACTCACTGCTATGTGTGACACTTAATAAACCCTGACAAGTTTTAAATGTTATTTTGTAATTGAGATGTCTCAAAGCCTCTGTTTCTTTAAGAAGTCGTTGGGGAGGTTTTGTAACTCAGACTTAAACTCCAGCCCAGTTCCATTCAGAGGTGAATGGAACATCTGAGAAGGCTGTTTTGGGGTGCCAGGGTGCCCCATTGCCTCCCAGGCAGTGCAGATGCTCCAGGAGCCTCCAGCTGTGGCTCTAGGGCCAGTGGCTGAGTTGTGGAAGGGTCTGGAAGGGATTTAGGATGCCTGAGGCTGAGAGACCATGCACCCTGCTGACAGCCAGCCGAGGCACCCGGCAGCTCCCGCATTCCCAGCCAGGGCTGTGGGCACAGGGCTGACCTTTGGAGCTTGTTGGATGTGTCTGTGGTCAGCCTGCAGCCACGTCTGAGCTGGGGGGAGGTGGATGTCCTGGGACAGGGAAAGGCTCAGCTGCTGTTCCATTTCGTGTCAGGCAGGGAGCAGCCAGGCCGGCTATTCCATGCTTTTCCAGCCTGGAATTCCATCTGCCTCCTGGGGCTGGCTGGCTGTACAGGGAGATCAAAGCAATTCACAGTTCTCGGAGTGCTGCCTTGTCACTGTGCTGGTGAAGCAGTGGCCCAGGCCCTGTGAGTGCCACCCCTTCCCCCATCAGCTGAACCCATCCAGGTAACATTCCTGAACAATATTTCTTGTCCCTGCCTCCTTGGCAGAGGGTTATGCAAATGCCTAGAGAAAAGCACAGGAGAGAACATGAAGAAGTGGGCTGAAATGACAGGCTGTTGTTGCAGGGTGTGGGGATCCGAACAGCTCTGTGGTACAGTGTGGCTGCCTGAGACATTTTGGCATCCCTGGGTGGGTTTTGTGTGTTTCCTCCAAAGCTGAGCTGGGGTCAGGGATTAGGCACACGTCCCACAGCTCAGGCAGCAGGAAACTGCTCTAACTGCATCCCTACCTGCTGCCTCTGCCGCTTTCACACAGGACCAAAGAGCATCGCGGCTCGGCCGGGTGGAGATGGTTTGATGGGGGCAGGAGCTGTGTCAGCAGCGGCTGTGCGGGCTCTGCACGCTCAGGGTTTGCAGGTGTTTGCTCTCCAGCTGCACAACTGCAGCACTGAGCACCCTGAGCCTTCCCTTTTCCTCCCCAGTCCCTGCTGTGGCACGGTGAGCGCCGGGACAGAGTTCCTGGCAGCTGCTTTATCTTGCAGCATCCACCCACATCACAACACCCAAATTAGAAAGTCTGTCTCTGTTTATCGCCGGGCTCCTCTCTACAGAAACCAAACTCTTCCCTGGGGTTGCCCGTTGCTTCTCCAGCAGTGCTCGCTCGCCCTCGGCAGAGCGTTTCTCAATCGCCACGGAGGCTGAAGTGTCACAGAGGGACTGAAAAATAAACATTAAATCAGCACCGCGTGCTTTCTGCTGCAATCATCCCGTGCTGGAGGGTTTGTTCGTGCCGAAGTGGGCACGAGGGTGGGGTCTCCCTGCACCCCAGTGCCCTGCATCCAGCTCGGGGTCACAGGGACTCCCACCCGAGCCACTGCCGAGGGCAGGGAACACGAGCAGGGAACACGGGCAGGGGCAGGGAACACAGGGAGGGAACACAGGGAGGGAACACGGGCAGGGGTCACAGGCAGGGAACACGGGCAGAGAACACGAGCAGGGACAGGGAACACGGGCAGGGGTCACAGGCAGGGAACACGAGCAGGGACAGGGAACACGGGCAGGGGTCACAGGGATGGAACACGGGCAGAGAACACGGG